AAACGTAGCTATCGGATTAAACATGCTTTCTTGAACCAAAGAGAATATTTAAATCCATCAATTCTGAGTAAATATAAAGCTGTTTTCAATTAAATACTTACACTTAGTATAAGTATTAAGAAAACGTAATGATTCATGAGAGTTTTTTTAAAAAGTATTTACACTACCATTATGCAGTTACTATAAGAATTCATCGTGTCCTTTGTAATTCTTTAACAGAAAACGCTTCCTTTTCCCTAAAATCAAAGCCTTTTAATTTCGTTACTTTATTTTTTCAACTGTTATGCCTTTGTGGCAGTATCTTTGTCATACTTTTTCTGATGTAACAGTATTTTTATTTGTGCAAGGTACACATAATTCACTATTCTTTTCCAAACGACTGGATAGCTTTAATATACTTCACAAGGAACTGTACATTCTTCAGTTTTTATTAAAACTTGTGCAAAGAGTGGTAAAAAGGAAACGGGAAGATTGTCTCATCGCAGTCAGAAATCTCGTTCCGTTTCATCATTTTCAGTAACACACTTATTCCAAGTATTAAATGTCAAATATTATGACCAACTTTTTTAATGTTTTCAGATGTGCTAGCCTTAGTTGGTTCCATAAAAAGAGCGATATTTATGACATTCAGCTAAGCAATTCTTAATTCATTGGTCGTTTTACAAATTTACTACAAAAATGTAGATAACTTACGGAGATCTATTGCAAAATAAATGCCATTAAAATTCATAACTTGTAATTAAACACATAAAAACTTCTGCATCAATTGGTAATTGACACACAAGAAATCCAGTATGTCATATTATAAGATTTAATAACTATAATTTTGTATAAAGTTCTTCTTTGAACATACCTTTTCTTCGTGGAGAAAGATAAATTCACTTAAATCATTCATATGTCAGGAAATTGGATTCATTTTCAGGAAGTCTTTTAAGGATATATTTCAGTTGCTTTTTAATTTCGCATTGCAATATATCAGTTTGGAACTTGCTTGTACAAACTGTTCAGGGAATTAAAGCTTCTTTTTCTAATTTACATTTAAAAAGCTGTACAGAGTGATATACAGAAAGGATAGGAAAACTTTTAAAAATGAAAGTACGCATCTATGCAAATAGTTTCCAACAAAGAACGCATGATCTAAAACGAAAATCAAAAGCGCTAGCTTGTTTCGAAATGGTACTTTAAAGCGGTATTTCTGTGATGATATTTCAGAAAAAATCACCCTTCTTGCAAATGAAAGCTGCTGTGTAAATCTGCGTCACAATGTGTGAAAGGCGCCAACGTCAGGCCAGTAAAGTTGTACCAGCGTGCAACCGTTGCAACACTTGTAGCACATCTTCTGAATATGGTAAAGCAGACATGCATTCTACTTATACACTTGAACGTTTTCCACACAAACACTGTCTCAATCAGGAAATATTTGAGAGCTTGCTTTAGTAGCTGTGCAAAAAAAACGCGGCTTGTCGTTGCTTCCTGATGTTAGGTGGTTCGTACAAGGACTGCCGTAGTTGTAAGTGGAGAATGAAGCGATATTGGAAAGGATGGCTGATCGTGCAACTACTAATACACGAGTTGTTGGGCGCAGACTTGGGGTGCTACAATCCATGGCATGGTAGATGCTGAAGGCATAGAGATTGTGTGCTAGATATCATTTGTATTTAGTCCAAACACTGAAAAATATTCCCCTGCTGGCTCTTTCAGAGGAATGCAGCACACTCAGATTCTGCGGCAAAAGCGTTTTTCACCGATGATTCCTTTATTGCAAGAGATAGTGCATTCCAGTAAACATGTCTGAACGGTTGCAAGTTTCACGCGAAGCAACAATAATTCGCCATCAATTTTTGGAATAATCTACAATCACCTAATAGTACTGCATCTTCTGCCGAAACACCTTTATGAAAACAATACGCGCGTTTCCACAACAGAAGAAGCCAGACTTGCTGGAGGATGCTCTAATTTTGCTCCGGTATAGATGGTTACCATGTAGTTCTTGCACAATTGAAATCAAAATTATTACGGGTGAGAATTACAGAACTATGTGTAAGTTAAGTTTCCAAATCGATGGATTAAGCAAAGTGGTCCTGTAAATTCCACCAATAAGTCCACCAGATCTGTCGTGTCTTTGATTTCTGATAGACTTGTGTACGAGACTGCTTTTGAATGTCAATAGAATCTGATCACGATACTTTCAACTTCAGTTGCTGGATAGGCTTGTGATATATTTGAAATATTCCAGAGTGTTTCCCAATCTTTTCTTCGTCACTGTTCTTGCATTCCCGTTGGTGGTTGCTCTTTTGTGTAACTATTGTCAATATTTATTTTAAAGGCTTTTTAAATGATTACTTGCTTCTAGAGTTTCCTCCTCGTGTTCTAGATTATATTGCGTAGCAACCTATACCTCGTTTACATTTCATTTTAGACTAAGCATCCTTTGATGGAAATTGTGTGCTTTTGTGTACTATGCAGAAAATTTGGGGAAAATTTTAAGTGATGGTATTACACCATCACTTAAAATATTTCTGAATCAAGCTCCATATTTCAGCATTTTCCTTTTTTATATATATAACTTCATTCTTTAAAGTTGAATGCCTTATTCAAAATGTCTTACATAAGTCAATATAAGTTTCCTTGGAGGTCACATCCAAAACGCACAGTACCGTAGAATCCGGCGTATAACACGCACCCGTACTTTCAAGCTGCATTTTTTAATTTTCAGGTATGTTCGCCGTATAACCCACCCACTTTTTAAGAAGAAATCTGAAATTTTAGTATACAACGTTTTTATGTTTTGAAGTCATTTATTCGTGATATTATGCCAGACTTTTGAAATAAATGTGCATTTCTACAGTTAGGAATCTTTTAGTTCATAAGGTATATCATTTCTTTTAAATAAGCAGTATTTCTATATGTATAAAAGTAAGCATATTTTTTATGCTAATCTCTTTTGTTATTTTTAAAGCTATCGTTTTATACCCGGCGTATAGCGCGCACCTTTATATTTCGAACTCATTTTTTGTGTTCAAAGTGCGCGTTATACGCTGGATTTTACGGCAATTGTTCTTTCAGAAAAGAAACACCATCCATTGCTATTATTCACCATACACATTTAATTCTTGAAAAGGGATCAATTTTATTTATTACAAGAGAGGTAATGTGTGCCACTCGTTCCTGCTATGTGTTGATTTGATTTGATGTTCCTGGATCACTCACTCTAAACCCAAAATTACCAAGCTCTGTACGTGAATGGAATTGATAAACTAAAAATCAATTAAAGTGTGTTCCTTCAATTTAATAATATAATCATGTTCGTGTTCTATATTTTTTCTTATCATCAGATTTCTTATGGAATTTCTTTTTCTTGTCATTTTTTTAATGTTTGCTTTTCCACCCCTGTTCAGCTACACAATTTTTTAGAATGTTCAATCACACACAGATGACCCTGCAACAGAATCACATTTATTTTACTTTCTTGTTTGTAATCTAAATAAAAACACATTTATTATAGTCTATATTTTAACAGAATATTCACTTGAAACTCTGCGTGAGAAAATAAAACTTACCCTTACTTCAATGAAGAGTTAAAACTCTTATGTACTGAATGAAACAATTCATAAATTTTAAAATTTCGTTTAGATGAAATTTTTTCCATTAATTATTTTCATACATGTTCCCTCTGATGTACTTTAAATGAGTCGAATTTATACTTAGGCTACACTTTTCAAGACAGCAAAACAGTGCTTTTACGTGTACTCAAAATTTTGCTTTAGCAAAATTTTTGTTAAACTCATAGTAAATAAGTTACAATTTCATTTCCTCAAACTCGAACACTTCATCCAATTTGTTTTCTTGTAGACCTCTCAACAAATGTTTGTGTTGCATTCTTTTTTCAATTCCT